TCAATATAGTTCATTAAATGCTTATTTCCATAGATAACCATGCCACAGTAACAAAATAAAGTAATATCACATGTATATCAAAATATGAAATGATTCCTCTTTTTAAAACAATTCCACACAAATACACACTAGCATGATCATTTAACCACCAAACCTCCAATGCTCTTTGACATAAAACCATAAGCTTTCTTGGATCAATCACTTGTTGACCCGAGCACACTTTCAGTGGTAGAAAAACTCAGCCAAAGGTAATCTATCCCACCTACGGACTATGATTTTCCCTCTTCACACACTTGTGATAAAGGTATCGTTGACTTCTAACTGCACCCTATCGGGCACTAGGGAGTTGCCAGATTGCTTGGATGTCCTATGGTAATAGTCTCATAATGTGCTATATCGAATTACCCATGGTACCAGCCCGTATAATGTTGTACCAGATTTCCTATGGTTTCAGCCCTACCATATGAAATTTTCACTCACATATCTCTACACACACACATCCCCATATATCCTGGGCGAACTCCCACCCCTTATGATCATGCTCTTTCACAATTTCCACTATTTTCTTTCACATTGCCACAGCATGTAATGTCATAACACATACACACATATACATATCATTTGAAATCAATTAATCCTACAAATCTCATTTCAAAAACCATTGTACATGCTAAAACCATTTCAATAACAAATCATGTACAAAACTTTTAAAACAACAAATTCATTAATTTATATTTACTTCTACATAGTATAATAGTTAATAAACACAATAAACTATATAGTTACCTCAACCCTTCTGTTCGATAGAAAGGGTTACCCATATAACTTCAACTCTATTTAAGCTCCTTTCTCGCAACTTGTGCATCACACACTAGAATCTACACAGAATTGGCATTCAGAGTTAATTTTTCTATTAACCAAAAGTGCTAATTATCATATTTAAGTACTTAATCATTATCAAATCCACGTTTCATACTTGATTACACACATTACCACTGATTATCCATCATTCCAAGCTTTAATATTCTCTAGCAATTTTCTCTTACTACTCTCTCCCTAGATTAGGGCAATTCTTGCCTACAACTCTAAAGCTTTATCGTTTTAACTCTAACTAGTCACAAAACACTAGTTTAGTTCTGAAGAACCTTTCTATTACTATAGGGTAAGAAATCAACTCCTTAAAACTCCTAAATTCACTTTCTCATTAGTTAAAATTAAGAGAAAATAGGGTAGATTCGGAGGTTACGTCAGCATTTGACTTACCCAATAAGTAATAGGTCTGAGACATTTTTCTTGCTCCTGATTTAGCTAGCCCTAGCATAGCCCTTGCTCTTCTCTATGTTTGAGCTCTCCTCCCATGGTTCTCTCTTTTGTTTCACGAGCTGGACATGTCCCTATTAATTTAATTTCTACTCCATGTGCCGCGGTGCATAGCACAGTGAGGGAAATCATTACTATGTTCACACCCTCTGCTTTGAGACTTCGATCTTCTACTCATATCTATTCATGTAACATCTCAATGAGTCAAAACAACACTTTACTACTCAGAATCCTATTCTCACATTAAATTATTAATCCATTCTTAATCAGTCATTAATATAAGATTAGAATACAGGATGTTATAGACATACGAGAAGGTAAAATTACTACTTCCCAAGTTGAGAGCAGTACAAGAAAGGGGCATGACTTTAAAAATAAAGAGGGGAATGTAAACTATATCCAACATATAAATTCATATTCCATAAGGTCACCTGCTCCCTACCAGTTTGATGAAAGAAACCAAAGATAGGTAAAACTATTGTTGACACCTAATAAGCAGGGACAATTTAGAGGACAATGAAATGCACAAGCTAAGGATAGTTGACTTTGGCTAAATTTTGAGATGACAAATGTTGAATCATATCAAAAATTACTTGAAGCCCAACTATTAGGCCTAAGACCCTAAGGCCACCTCACCTACCTTATCTATCCTAGTACAATCCTAATCATGAAACCATATCCAATCCTAATCATATCAAGACATTCCATAGAAGATTGTATCACATTTAAGAGGAATTTGATGGATTTGGTTGATTCAAACCATATCTAACTCAAAAATAATGAAAACTTTACAATAACCTCTAATCCTTTCCCTAATCATGAAAGAAGAGAAAATGCTATTGAGGGAGAGAAGAGATTCTTAAGAAACTTTGTCAATGTTGGGATTTTAATGTCAGCACTCTTTAAACACTTAAAAGTAGTCGGCTATATATTGAGAACCCTAGAGGAGGAATGTAATGAAATTAACTCAATATATTGTGAATATCATTGAAAGAACATGGATCATGATATAGAAAGATGCCCCCAATTCAAAAAAGGTGTAATGAAATTGATGTTGTTAGGAGTCGTGATCATAGAGAAAGAAGATAAAGAAGTTTAGATGACAGAAAAAAGGCAAATTGAATTTGTCATTAAAGCTTTAGCTCTAGAAGAACAAACTGACATAGCATACTTCGTTATTAATAAGATGCCCCAAGGACTTAAGCCACCCCATAATCTTAATGCTAAGCCATCTTTGTTTACTATAAGCATGCCATCTCCATTTCCTTATGAAAGTAATAAAGCAGTACCTTGGAGATATGATGGTGTTGCAGAATGCTTATCAAACTCAACTATGGTTACTAAGACTGGAAAGGCTGAGGTCACAAACATTACAAGCCTAGGAGGGGTCACTCAAAGCAGGAGAGTATATCACCCATCAAATTCTAGAAAGGTGGCAAGGGGGAAAATAGTGAATGCTGATTGTAATGATGATGATCCAAAAGAATTTGACAAGATTGATGAGGAGTTCTTGAAGATTATGAAGCAAAGTGAATATAGCATAGCTGACCAATTGAACAAAACACTTGTGAGGATCTTAGTACTCTTTAATTTTGAGCTTAGAAGCATATCGACGAGCATTATAAGAGATCCTAAATAGGGCTTATGTACAACCCAATATAACCTCAGAAAAGGTGGGAAGTATAATAAACATTGTGAAAGCTACATCTACCATATCATTCTCAGAGGAACAGATCGTAAAGATGATAGTTCATCAATCAAAAGCCTTACACATCACCTTGAAATGTAAGGGATATGTAGTAGCCAGGGTATTGATTGATGGAGGTTCGACTTTAAGTGTCCTCCCTTTAGCAACATTTGAGCTATTATCTTTGGAAACAATGATCATGGAAAGCAGTGACATGATAGTTCAAGCATTTGATGGATCAAGGAGGGAAGTTTTAGGTGCTGTTCAACTTCTATTAGAGATTGAACCCCACTTGTTTGTGGTGGACTTTCAATTAACGGACATAAATCCAGCTCATACCATATTATTAGGGTGCCTATGGATTCATTCTGCTGGAGTGGTGCCTTCAACCCTGCGTCAAAAGGTTAAGTTCATCCATGATGAGAGAATTGTCACTATTAAGGGGGAAGAAGAGATTATGGTGAGCAAACCAAGCTCCCTCCCATATATTGAAGCTACTGATTATGAAGATGGGGTGATGTTCCAGAACCTTAAGATTAAAGGTCCTAAGAAAGATCTTGAGAATGTTAACTTTGTTGTAGCTAAAATCATGAAGAAAAGTATATTTGAACTCGAGAAAGGATTGGGCATGCAGTTACAAGGCATTAATCAACCAATCAATTTGCAAGAAAATCATAAGCGTCAAGGTTTGGGGTATGAAACTAAATTCCAAGATTAGATGAAAGGCCAAGCTAGCTCGGTAAAAGGCAAAAAGATTGAGAAGTTAAAAATCCCACATATCAAAGAAACATCTCCAGCCCCAATTGAAGTGATACATTTACCAATTATCTCCATGGTCTTTCCTAGTAGGGAATGGCCACGTGAAACCCATACTTGGATTAGAACTGATGACTCTAGGGAAGCTTTGGCAAACTGGGAGATTGAGAATGCACATGATGTTATTACATTAGAGTAACTGCTTTGATTATGTTCTTTCCTTTTATGTTTTGAATAATCTCTTTCAGCTTTTGTTCAAAGCCCTTTTTTGACTATAGGATATAAACTTATATGCAATATGAATTTAAGGAATTTATGTGAATTTCAATTTTCTCTATTTTTCATTCCCTATCTTTATTAATTATCCTCAATGAATCATTACCCCATTCCTATAATTTAACATGTTCCCCTTTCCTTTCTCTCTCATTCATTTATCTTATTTTTTCCTTTATCCTTCAAGGACTTGAATTCCTCAAAACTCCTATCTAGCATAAAGTTTTTTGAGCCCTTAGAGAGTAATTTACTTGGTGCTATTGATATGCATGAATGTGAGTCTGATAATGAGGAGTTAATACAAATGTTTTCAAAGATACTTCACTCAACTGACAAAGAGATGTGCCTTCATGAAGAAATAGTTGAAATAATAAATATGGGGACTAAGGAAGAAAGGAAAGATATTAAAATAGTAAATAATCCTGAGAGAGAACAAATGATTGAGCTATTTAGAGAATACCTTGATGTGTTTGCTTGGTCTTATAAAGACATGCCAAGGCTCGATCCAGGCATTGCCTCTCATATAATCCTACTATTACCAAATGTTGAGCCTAAAAAGAAAAAATTGCAAAGAATGGAAGCAGAAACATCATTATAAATAAAGGAAGAAGTAATGAAACAGTTGGAGGCTGATTTTTTAGAAGTAGCTAAGTACCCTCAATGGGTAGCGAATGTAGTCCCTGTTCTCAAAAAGGATGGCAAAATTTGAATGTGTGTTTATTATCAAAATTTGAATGATGCAAGCCTGAAGGATGATTTCCCCTTACCCCACATTGATGTCCTATTAAACAATACTGCACGGAGTCATAAGTATTCACTTATTGATGGGTACTCATGATATAGTCAAATCTCATTACGTGAAAATGAGAAGGAGAAGACTACTTTCACCACACAATAGGGAACATAATGTTATCAAGTAATGCCATTTGGCTTAAAGAATGCTAGAGTAACTTATCAATGGGCAATGGTAGCCTTATTCCATGACATGATACATAAAGAGGTTGAAGTCTATGTTGATGATATGGTTGCCAAATCGATGGAAGGAGAAAGTCATATGGCTATCCTTCGAAAGCTATTCAAGAGGTTGCGTAAGTTTTAACTTAAATTAAACCCAAACAACTGTATCTTTGGGGCATTATCATGGAAGTTGTTAAGCTTCATTGTAAGTCATAAGGGGATAGAGGTAGATCCTGATAAAGTCAAGGCAATATGAGATATGCCTCCCCCTCGATCAGAGAAAGAAGTCTGTAGCTTTTTAGGATGATTAAATTACATTGCAAGATTTGTAACATCCTAAATTTCTTAATCCTAAGTTTAGAGATTAATTAAGGCAGAAGTGGAAGTCAATGTAGGATTATAGATTCGGATGATTAATTAGTATTTTAACTTGTTTGTGTTTTGTATGAACATATATGGGTGATAGGAGTGCATTTTGGGTTGAAGTAAGTGCGCGTGGTGAGAATAAATCTTACTGTGCCACCTACCGCGACTCGTGCTGCATGCACTGCAGCGCGTAGACTAGAAAATCACTTCTTAAGTCATAAAATGGGGTGATTTTCATAAAAGAAAATTGAGAAACACACGAGATAGAGAGAGAAGAAGGGTTGAGGAGCTTAGTCAAGCTATTTTGGAGCGGTGGAAGGTGATTCGGATTAGTAACTTCTCAAGTAAGTTACGTATAACTCTTTACCTTCATTCTACACAAATTTCTTTGAAAATGAGTTATAGAGAAATTGAATTGGAGGAATTTGAGGGGTTTGATTCTTTCTTAATAGTAATAAAAAGGTTTTCGAAGGTTAAATTAAAGCTTTGTGATGGGTTAGAGCTAAAGGGTAGAGCTTTAAACTTGCAGGCCTAATTTTAGCCTTTAGAGAGAGAAAGTTAGGGCAAAAATCTGATATGAGAGAAATAAGATCGGTTGAAGTGATGTAAAGCAGTAATTCGGTAGCCATGGATATAGAATGGATAAATGGAGAAGAGTTTACAGATGAATATAGCCCTAAGTAGTAAAAATGAGTTTTTGGTCAAAATGGACTAAATGACTAAAATGTGTCAAATGTGTTCAGATTGGCATATTGGACTCGTGAATAGAGGAAGGAAGCTTGAGATAAGCTTGTGTGATAGTTAAAATCCATGGGTAACCTTTCTAATGATAGAAGGGTTGAGGTAATCAAATAACTTCCTTTGTTTGATTATTTATTATAACTATATGTTAGTATGCTATGTAGTGTATGAAACGGTTTTAAACTAAGTATGTTTTATAGCATTGAGTGATGTGTGAAATGGCTTTTGGTTAAAATAAAGCATTAGAATTTGTGATTTTAAATGTAAAGTATTATATGTATGTGTTATCTGTAAGAAAGTATGTGAAATGGGAAATGGAACCTTAAATGGTTCGGGAAAGCATGATCATAGGGGTAGGAGTTTACTCGAGTATAGGAGATGATTAAGACCATATGGCAAGGTTTTCTTAGTACCCATTAGGGTGTGGTATTAGAAACAATTCTCTTTAGTGCCTTAAAAGGTGCGGTGTTGGAGATGAGAGACTCCTTAGTATCTTTGCGATGCAGTGTTGGAGTCAATGATGCTCCATTGTGTGTATTGGGAGAAATCATAGTCCATATTATGCATTAGAACATCTTTGGCCAGGTGATTCTACCACTGTAAGTGAGCTCAAGGCCAATGAGAGTGTATATTGGTCTAAGATGAGCCTATGGTTTTGTGTCAGAGTGATTTGGAGGTTCAGTTGATAGTGATCATGCTAGCATGTTATGTGATATGATGAAATATGTTGAGATAACATGGAATCCTATGTGATTAAGGAAAGGTTAAGAAATGAAATGAGATATGTGATATAAATGCTATTTTATGAGATTTTAATGATATATTATGTTTTCTTCCATATTGTTGCATGTGATAGTCATAGGAGTGAGTACTAAGATTTTTATCTCACCCCCGTAGTTACATGTTTACAGGACCGAGAAGTAACCAGGGCAAGGGATGAGAGTCTGGTCCAGCTTGAGTTGTGAAGCCGTGCACTTTGAGTTTGTGTAATGAACTAAATTGAGACTGTATATATGTGTATAAATGAGTTCCCATAGGGTTTTATGCATGAATTGAATTGAGATTTTGTGAAATCTAGCCTAATTGTTGGTATATATGTTGAAATGAATCAAGGGGCTATGATTTAGTATGTTTGTGTTGAAATGGTTGTTTGTGTTGGTGAATCTTAAGCTAAGGGATAAATTATGATGAAATGAAAAATTTGAGGGTTAAGATTATATTGTGAATATGAATAGGTTTGAATGTGTTGAGAAATAACTAAGTGGGCTAAGCTATGCCACGAAATGGCAAAGTGTGTAAAGTTTGTAAATTATGAAAATTGGCCATAAAAAGGTCAAATTTTGATATATGAGTACAATTATGATTAATTGTGGTCAATCAGGTATATCAGATCCTTTTGGACTTGGTTTAAGGCCTAATATAGTCTAGTGAGAGTAAGGGATTGATTTGAGCTCTTGGGTATGCAAAATTTTCAAAAAAAGTGACTTTTTGTACCCAGGTGTTTAAATTTTGATTGGACCATTAGATTGTGTCCAAACCTATCTCATTAGTTAGTATACGAGCTAAGCTTTGTGTGGGCAATTGAATCACTCCAATCAGATGTCGTATGTGAGAACGGCACACGCTAAAAATTTGTCATTTTTGCTATCAAAATGACAGTAGAAAATTGGACAGGCGTGCCGCGGCACATAGTGATACATGCTATGATGTATGGCACAGAAAGGGTAAGCATATAGCTCTATGCCACATGCCGCAATGCACGAACTGCACGCCACAATGGATGGACCATTTCTCAATTTTTTTATGAAATGCATGCCATTAGGATAGAAATGCTGGTGGGTTATGTCCACTACGTATTAGTGGAGTGTATGATTTGCTTCCACTGTGTATTTCTTTGATTATATTGTGAATTGAATGATTTTACAAAATAAGTCTTCTGCTGAAGCTTTTGAAATGAAATTTGATTATTGTAATTGATGTGAGGCAATGGTAACAACGTAATCTTCTCCTATGTTGAGTTGATATATAGGGAAGGTTACAGTTGCTGCTTTAGCTTTAGGCACTTATGAATTACTTTTGCCCAGTGGGCTTTTATTAGTTTTAAACAATTGCTATTATGTTTCTACTTTGAGTAGCAACATTGTTTCTCTTTTTTATTTAGATAAGGGAGGTTTTACTTCCATTACTAGAAATGGTAAATGTTCTATTTATGGAAATGACATTTTTTATGCTAATGGTGATTTGCATTTTGGTCATTATCTTTTAAATCTAGAATATCCTAGTAATGAAAAAATCTATGAAAGTAAGCCAAGAATTCATTGATCATCTCAAAAATTGTGGGATAGTCTCACAATTAACTCCTCTAATAACACTACAATGGAATGGTGTCTTTGAGTGGAGAAATAGGACACTATTAAATATGGTTTAATCCGAAATGAGTCAAGTAGATCTTCCACCATCCTTTTTAGGGCCATGCACTAGAAATAGCTACGTTCATACTGAACCGTGTTCTATCTAAGGCAATTGAGAAGACACCATATAAGATATGAATTGGAAAAAACCTAGTTTGTCTTTTCTCAAGATTTAGGAAAGTGATATTTATGTTAAAAAACCAGGCCTTAAATAAGTTAGCACCCAAATCCATAAAGTTCCTTTTTGTGGGGTATCTTAAAGAAATAAAAGGATACTATGTCTACAATCCCACTGATAATAAAGTATTTGTAATTCAAAATGGTATCTTTCTAGAAAGAGAATTTATCTCTAAAAGAACCAGGGAGAGCAAGATGCATCTTGAAGAAATTCAAGAACCACAAAATAGCACAGAGTCACAAATGAAAAATCAAGACAACTCACAAGAAGTAAATGAGCCTACTCAAATAACACAAGGCCCATGAAGGTCTGATAAGACACGTATCATCCTCAGAGATATGGATTTCTGATTAATGAATGTCGTAATGTGTTACTCATTTGGGACCAAATTTCGAGAAATAGCTAAATGCTATGAGGTCTGAAATGCAATCTATATATGATGATAAGGTATGGAACTTAGTCAATCCACTTGAAGGTATAAAAACAATCAGGTGCAAGGGGGTTTTTAAGGACAAAACTGACATGGATGGTAAAAATGTCTTCAAGGCATGATTGGTTGCAAAAGTATTCACCCAAACTCATAGTGTAGATTATGATGAGACCTTTTTCCCAGTTGCAATGGCCAAATCAATCACATAACTATGAAATATGGCAAATGGATGTTAAAACAGTATTCCTTAATGGATTTCTACTTGAGGAAGTATACATGACACAGCCTAAAGGCTTTGTGCTTCAAGAAGACTCTAGAAAGGTGTGTAAGCTTCAAAGATTCATTTATGGATTGAAGCAAGCATCTCGGAGCTAGAATTAATGTTTTGGTGAAATAATCAAAGTGTTTGGATTCATTAAAAACATTGATGAACCTTGTGTTTACAAAAGGGTTAATTGCAGCACAGTTATATTTCTAGTGTTATATGTAGGTGACATCCTACTCATTAAGAATGACATTCCTACCTTGCAGAATATTTAAATGATGGAATAATAACTATTATTGTATGCAAATTTAGCCAATGATAAGTAGCTATCCCAACTACCACACAACTCTAACACACAAGATCGTAGCATGAGTCTGAATGGTTCACTTAGTTTGCCTATCAATCTGAGGATGATAAGGGGTACTAAACTTCAAAGCAGTACCCATGGCTCTGTGTAACACTCCCCAGAACTTAGATGTGAATCTCAAATCTCGATCAGAAACTATATCTTTCGGCACTCCATGTAAACGTACAACTTCACGAATATAAATCTCAGCTAACTTCTCCGGAAAATCACTAATCCTTATGTCTAAAATGTGAGCTGACTTCATCAATTGGTCAACAATCACCCAGATAGCATCGTGCCTTAAATGAGTTCTTTACAATCTAAAGATAAAATCCATAGAAATGCTGTCTCATTTCCACTTAGGTATTTCTAATGGCTATAACATCCCAACCAG